CAACTAGTTGAATTTGTCATCATATTCTCATATCTCCTCTGCTCTCACTAGAGGAAAGGAAGAAACAATTAACACACCTGATTCTTCTTTCCTTCTTTAAATTATGTACAGCTTGCCCTTTATATGAGGGTCTTGGAGTAGGAAACCATAAAACTAAAATTATAAATAATAACCCAAAATAAAACAGAAAGAAAATCACAATTCGTCATAAAAGTGCAAAAGCATCTACAAAAATCCAGCTGGCATTACAATTTTGAAAAGCCTGAGTGAATACTCAGGTTTTAATCTGGCTTCTAAATGGGGAGGAAAAGGAGTTTGGTACCTGCTGAATCCTAGTTCTGTGGAAAAGCCCTCTTCAGGGTGTGGTGTGGTCCTGATTCACCCACTTGCCCTGTCCTGAATTTAAAGAGCAAGAATCAGGCTGGGTCCACATTACCGCTCCAGCGCACTCCCACCTCTGGGGTGGCGATGTGGTCTAAACCACAGAGCCTAGGGCTTGCCGATCAGAAAATCACCGATCAGAGAATCCCCACGACGAAGTGAGCTCCCGTTGTTCAGTCCCAGCTCCTGCCTACCTAGCAGTTCGAAAGCACGTCAAAGTGCAAGTAGATAAATAGGTACCGCTCCGGCGGGAAGGGAAACGGCGTTTCCGTGAGCTGCTCTGGTGCGCCAGAAGCGGCTTAGTCATGCTGGCCACATGACCCGGAAGCTGTCTGCGGACAAACCCTGGCTCCCTCGGCCTATAGAGTGAGATGAGCGCGCAACCCCAGAGTCATCTGCGACTGGACCTAATGGTCAGGGGTATCTTTACCTTTACACATGGTGTTGCCCACAATCCATAAGTATGCTGTAGCCTCTTGAGCAATATTCCTGTTTGATGTGGTTTCCCTCAGACCACCTCCCATCCAATTTGAAAATGGGAGCATGTTCGGATGACAGCACTTGGGCAGGCAGATGACAGCCGCAGCAAATTGGAATGTGGTATGGGGAAACAAATGAGGGAACGGTCACTGAGTGAAGACATGGTCAGTGGCTCTCTGCTCTGTACAGCAATGTAAGAATGCAACTTGAAATGCAAAGAGGGAAAATGACCTCACAGCTCACTCAAGCTGCTAATGTGTACATTGCCTCAGGCACATTAATTGCTCATGCGCAGGTAGCCTGGGGGAAAAAGATTAACGCCACCTTCCTTCCCAATCTCCCTCTCCCCGGGCAAACTGTTTATCGATCTAGTCCAGGGGTGCCCAAACTTTTTTTCAAAGAGGGCCAGATTTGATGAAGTGAACATACGTGTGGGCCGACCAAAGTTGTTGAACTTTTTGTAGTAGTTTAGCTTTGGGGGGGGGGGATTTTACCCCAGGAAATAAACTGCCGCAGGCAGGGGCTGGATTAAACCAAACGGTGGGCTGGATTAGGCCCCCAAAACAGGCTTTGGACATGCCTGATCTAATCTAGAATGGTTATTGAAGGAGCGTCTCCACCCCCATCATTCTACCCGGACACTGAGGTCCAGCACTGAGGGCCTTCTAGTGGTTCCCTCACTGCGATAAGCCAAGTTACAGGGAGCCAGGCAGAGGGCCTTCTCGGTAGTGGCACCCGCCCTGTGGAATGCCCTCCCACCAGATGTCAAAGAGAACAACAACTACCAGACTTTTAGAAGACATCTGAAGGCAGCCCTGTTTAGGGAAGCTTTTAATGTTTGATGCATTACTGTATTTTAGTGTTTTGTTGCAGGCCACCCAGAGTGGCTGGAGAGGGCGGGGTATAAATAATATATTATTATTATTATTATTATTATTATTATTATTATTCCAACCACCTTTGGCTCTCCAGTGTCTGGGACTTTATGCATACCCAACATGAGCTCTGCCGCTGGACTATGGCGTCTGGTTGGCCACTGTGGGGATATGGGATTTGATAGATATTTGGTTTGACTCATTAGGCTCTCCTTACCATCTTCCTGGGCAAGATAGGCAAATGGTTTAACTAGATATAAGACAGGGGTGGGGAACCTTTGACCCTCCAGATGCTGCTGAACAGCAACTCTCATCATCCCTGGTCAGGCTTGCTGATGGGTTTTGCCGTTCAACCTCTGGAGGGCCAAAGGTTCTTCACACCTGGTGTGAGACATTCCTTTGTAGTTTTCCACAGGATTCAAGGCCTCCTTTTGAACAGGATGATGTTGAATCTGACAGGCCCCAGTCGGTTTTTCCAGACATTTTACATTTTTTAAAATTTCTTTTATCTATTCTAAAACCTGAGTTCAAAATCCAGATCCTCGATACACCCAGATGTTTACTGAGCTATACACCTTATCATCTTCTGGAAATGTGGTTGGCAAGACAGGGTTTGAAGGGGGAAAATGAACTTCAAAATAGCTTTACTGACAGGCACTGAACATGATTCATCATGAAAACAGTATTTATTTTCTCCATCAATCCTGGGAAATGTGTGTTTTGCAGGAAGCTGGAGGCTGTGAAGTACACAATTTTCCCTCATGGGAAATTAACATTCATTTTTAAATTAGCACTTTGGGGTGCAAATTTTGCAAGCCATGCAGCACAGTCCTAAGCATCTGGGCTGCTACTATATATTAAGACTTGCAGCAGCTCTCAGATCTTAAGGCAGCCTTAAGAAAGACCCTTGTAACTAAGCTGAGCGTGCCAGCAACTGAACCCTGGAATAGATTACCTGCAATATATGCTTCATAGTAGGAGTGCACAATGTCTATCACTCTAGATTCCCAAAAGCTTGTTCCTGGCACATATAATTTGCATATACTTCCCTCTGGGAAATCAGTCCTGCTAATTTAGTTGGAACTGAGCCATAAGACCATAAGAAGAGATCTGTTGGATCAGACCAAAGGACCATTTAGTCCAGCAGCCTGCTTTCCCGGTGGCCAACTTAATGGCTGTGGGAAAGCCCACAAGCAGGACTTTAGGGTGCCAAAATGGTGCCTGCTTGTGATTCACAGGAAATGTAATTCAGAGGAATGCCATCTCTGAGATTGTACCAAGGAAAAAGCACACCAAGAACTCTGGCCAATATAAGTTTCAATAGTGGAAGTGGTCCCTACTCGCAAATCAATAGTCAATTGTATCAAAAACTAATCCATTCAAAAGTATGTATTCTGACAAGGATTACAAACGCAAATAGAGATTACAAACTCAAACAGAGATTACAAACTCAAACTCATAAGGATATGTATAACACAAATAATTCGTTACAGTATTAGAGATAAGAGTTTATGAGTAGAGATAAGTTCATGTTAGTTTTGTATTTTTATTTCTAAAGCAAAGGGGGAAGGCTGCCGGCAAAGCGGCGCAACTCTCCCCTTACCCCGATGGCTTGGGGGAAGGCTTGGGAGTTGTGGGCGGGCAGTGCGCCAAATGTCACCCCCCTCAGTAAGGGCACCTGGGGTGGCCCACCTCCACCGTTCCCCCTTCCTACACCCCTGATTGTAGGTAGAACATAGCCAGCATGGCTAGGAGTCATTATCCTCCATGAATTTGTCCAATCTTTCTTTAAAGTCAACCAGGTTGGGGGCAGATTTCATAGTTTTACACTTCCACTTGTTCTGTGCCTAGAAAGTGTGGGTTCGAGAGGTTTTCTGCTTCTCCCGTGCTTTCTAGCCTCGGGTCTGAGTGTGAGGAATGGGGTTTGTTGTTGTTGTTGTTGTTGTTGTTGTTGTTGTTGTTACATATTTTGTGCTTTAATCATGTATTTTTATGTTGTGAACTGCCCTGACTAATAATAATAATAATAATAATAATAATAATAATAATATTTCATGTGTCCCACCATTTTCCTTGGGAAACCCCGCTGTTTACTGCTGAATCTGAACAAACTTCAATCTGCATGGGGGTGGGGAAGATGTTTGTTTCAATTCAGTGGTAAACAGCAGGTTTTCCCAGGGGAAAGCGGTGGGACGGGCACAAATATTTCCTCTTGTCTGTCCTGAATCTTGCAACTCCAGCTTCATTCAGCTGCACTGGATGCCCCTGGATTTTCGTACTATGAGAGGTGGAGAATAACCTATCTCTATCCACCTTTCCCACATCATGCATAATATACACCTCTATCACGCCCCCTTACTTGCCTCCCCGCTTCAAACTAAAAAGCCCCCAGAATGTTGCAACCTATAAATTTCAGTGATCACGGTGAATGCACAAACCTAATCCAGTATCGTCAGGATAAAGTCACAGGCTGCTCCTACGCTGTGTCCTTCCAACACCGCTGAGATGCTCATGTCCCACTATCAACTGGGAAACGGATTTAAATTGCTAAACATGGCACCTTGCAGAGCACTGTTTTCCCCATTAAAATCTGTAGTGATCCTCCACACTTGCAAAGGGTGAGGGAAATGCCAGTTTTGAAAAGCGGTGGAAAGCCAACCCGAGTTATTTTTACTATTACAATTCTGCCCTAACACCCCAAGAACAGGCCAGGAAAGGAGAAGTGGGGGAGATCTCCCAGATCGCAGCAAGCAGTATTCTTGTTGCCAGCCAAGGATTTGCTCCATCTCCTAGCGCCGCATGAAATTCCTTCCCCTCGTTATTTTTGCTGGTTCTCCCCCATTACCTCTTCTCCACAAAATGGCTCAGCGATCCGACTAATACAGCACAACGTCTGATGTTCCCTCTGCACCACTGGCAGACAAACTCTCATTGAAACATTAGACCAGATGCTAAGAACCTCAGGCCCCAAAATGGAATGCGGCCCTCCATGACTCTCTGCCTGGCCCCCAGGCCACAGCTCTCTCCTCTTCCTAGATCACACCCCTTCTCTGGCCCTGTTTCAATCGCACTGGAGAGTATTTGCCCGGCAGGAGTTTGATCATGCCTATCCTTTGTTTCGATAGAGGATAGAGAGGGCTGTGTGGAGAAACTAGCCAGCTGGCCAAAGGTAAAAAAAATCATTCCTTGCTCTGCCCGCATTTACCTCTGGCCCTGCTATCCATTGCAAGATTGCCCAGAAGGCAATGTGGTCCTGGGGATCCTGCTGGGATAGCTCAGTCGGTAGAGCATGAGACTCTTAATCTCAAGGTCGTGGGTTCAAGTCCCACATTGGGCAAAATATTCCTGCATTGGACGAGGTGATCCTTGTGGTCCCTCCCAACTCTAAAATTTCTTGATTCTATGAAACTGCTGTGCCATGACCCCTCTACCACTGAGACCTGAGCCCTTCCCCATGCCACTGTCTCCTCCGACTGAAAAAGGCTCTGCACCCCTGCTTTAGAGGAAGAGGCAATGCAAATGGAAACAGCCATAGCATCAAGAACACGGTGGGAAACAGCAAAATGGTGATTGACTGACTGTATCTTGAAAAAAGCGAGCAAAGAAACCATGCCTGCGCAAGAGTAAATGCCATGGCTGGAAGCACCCAGCTTGCCAGTTTTTCTACAGCTTTCCTCTTCCCTTGCTCTACTGATGCAGATATAAAGAAACCAAGAAATGTAATTTAGTATATTTTTGCTGTGCTGATATGTATTCACTTAGAGTTCCGTTGGGCTTTCTTTCCCCTCTTTCTCGCTGTCGTCTGGCAAACTGGCAGCGTGAAAGGGAATGACATATGGCAAGGGAAGTAACATTCTATATGTGTTTTGCATTGCACCGAACAATTGGCTTCTCCTTGTGGTGAGTGAGTGGCGCTGGAGCTTTCGATCAAGTGCCAGAAAAGCCTGCTGGCAGGGAAGCAGCCCTTCACTTCTTCGTTATCTCGAGACGCTGAGATGTGCAAAAGCAACAAAGGGTCTTGTGGCACCTTAAAGACTAATGCACTGATCGTGGCTTAAGCTTTTATGGACTACAGTCCACTTCATCAGTAGCATTAAGCGTTATCTGGAGTCAGAGGTACAGGCCTATTTATAGGGATGGAAGAATCTATCATTTCCATTCTCTCGCTTTCTCATTTTTACCAGTCTTCAGTTCTCCACATTTTGCAGCAATTTGCATTCAAGAAAAAAAGAAATCCTCATGAAAATTCATCAGCATTTTAGTGTGAATTTCCCCCAATAAACACATTTTTAATGCATTTGACTAATGCACCCATTTTTGCAAGCAATTTACCCATATAGAATGCATTTTTCTTTGCTATTTTTACCAAATGTGTTTATCTTATGCACACTATTTCCTCTTAGGTGTGCTTTTGTACACGTTCCTAGGCTGAAGAGCTGCATTGTATAATGTGTGTGAATTTCTAAGTAAGGGTGGCTGTGTTTCATTTCACATATTGTTTAGGAAAGTGTGAATCTGAAAGATTCAGCTTTAAATGCATACTGAAAATAATTTCTCATCCACCCTCACCTATATACATGATATGTACCAGCCTCCAAGACTGTTTCAGCAGAAAGAGGTATAGGTAGCTGTGATAGCTCCGAATGACTAATCCAGGGTGTTTAATGGGCACTTGACAGGACTTGGTTGTCCTGTTCATCCCACATCTCCCAATATGTATTTGTTGAAAATTGTGGACCCATAGAATTTTTTATTCATAGGATTTCTTGTAAACGATGCCGAGAAAGAGGGAGAGAGAGAACAAACAAGGGCAAGAAGGAAGGCCCGGCAGCCGGCAGCCCGTAGCACAGATTTAAAATGTTTTATCTAAATTAAACTGAACATTCTCCTAGACATCACCATAAATTTGCAAGCGTTTCTTAAAACAGTGCTTGCTGTGCATTCATTTTAGTTTGCTTGGTTTTGTTCACTCTGGAACATCAAAGTATAAATCAAGCACGCTCTTTCTTCTGTCTCAGATGAAGCACAACAAGATGGAGAGCATTAGAGAGTCTCTAATAAATAAAGTGTAAAAGCTAGACCAGCTGATGGCCTTTAATAATTCTTTCAAATCCACATAGAGTCAACACTACAGACACACTTTCCAAGAAACAGCTTAAAATAATCTATGTTGGTTCTTGGCAGAAGAAGGCATACTTAAGGTCTCAAGAGCATGACCCCAAAACCAGAATGCCTGGAAAAATAGTTATAATTGAACAGCAAAGAGGTCTATAATTTGGTCATTGGAGATGAGGATAGCCATTCTCCCCATTTTCATATATTCTATGCCACATCGAAAATTGTCATGTTTAGAAGAAAGGGATTTTGAATGAGGTAGGAGAAAGCTGGAGTAGATTCTTCTCTTTGAAACCACTTAGATACTGCTTATTTGTGATGGTACTTGCCTTTAATGAGATGGGGCTGGGATACCTTGAAGCATGAATATCTCATATGTAAATCTGTATATCGCAGAGCAGCATCAGAGGCCCTGCTCTGTGTGCTTTGATGTTCCCTGGGTGGGTAACAGTAAAAAGAAAAGTAGTGGTTTGGGCCATGGCAGCCCTACTGTGAAATGTTCTCCCTAGGGAGGCCTCCCCAGCCCCATCACTTGTTGTTGTTTAATCGTGTCCGACTCTTTGTGACCCCATGGACCAGAGCATGCCAGGCACTCCTGTCTTCCACTGCCTCCCACAGTTTGGTCAAACTCAAGTTAGCTATGAGAACACTGTTCAACCATCTCGTCCTCTGTCGTCCCCTTCTCCTTGTGCCCTCCATCTTTCCCAACATCAGGGTCTTTTCCAGGGAGTCTTCTCTTCTCATGAGGTGGCCAAAGTATTGGAGCCTCAGCTTCAGGATCTGTCCTTCCAGTGAGCACTCAGGGCTGATTTCCTTCAGAATGGAGAGGTTTGATCTTCTTGCAGTCCATGGGACTCTCAAGTGTCCTCCAGGACCATAATTCAGAAGCATCACTACTTTCCCCTTAACTCTGTGATAAAGACCTTTGGATAGCACCTTTGGAACCCAGCAGGCGGTCTGTTGGCTCTGAGTTAATGTTCCTGGGTTTCTATTAATTTTTAGAAACATAAGTCACAACTGTCATGCTGCCATGGATTTCCTTTTTGGGAAGGAAGTGGGATATACATATCAACAAACAAATGGGTTTTTGCTTCATGCTTTCTCCTAAACAATCAAAGAACTTGTCACCAAAAATAGCCTTCCGTTGGTGAATGAAGCACATCCAGACTCATAATCTTTAGGAATGGAGAACCTCAGTCCTGGGGTTGAGTGCAGCCCTCCAGGCCTCTCAGATTGACCCTTTGATTTCTCCTCAGACCACACTCCTCACTGTTTCATTCCCACCATGGGTGTCTTTGCCTGGTTGGAATGTGCCCTTGAACTTTGATTACCTCTTTCCATAGGAATGTTGCCTGAGCTTGTGGCAGGAAACTCTTGCAAGAGAAGTAGTCACATTTCTGGCATCTGGCACCCCAATCACCCAGGTGCAGATCATGAAACCAATGAATCTTAAGCTTCAGAACCCTAAGTCCAAAGGGGCCCCAAAAGCAACTTTTGTCCACATTGCTTTTTAAAAAATGGATCTAGTAGACTCAATCTGAGTTGCATGACTCCATTTGATTATTTTGTTGTTGTATCTATTTCAACCATCCCAAAGTTTGAGAGTCAATAGCACAGATGTTTAGGATGTGGGTGGCGCTTGCCGATCAGAAGGTCGGCAGTTCGAATCCCCGCGACGGGGTGAGCTCACGTTGCTTGGTCCCTGCTCCTGCCAACCTAGCAGTTTGAAAGCACGTCGAAGTGCAAGTAGATAAATAGGTACCGCTCCGGTGGGAAGGTAAACGGCATTTCTGTGCGCTGCTCTTGTTCGCCAGAAGCAGCTTATCCATGCTGGCCACATGACCCGGAAGCTGTACGCCGGCTCCCTTGGCCAATAAAGCGAGATGAGCGCCGCAACCCCAGAGTCGGCCACAACTGAACCTAATGGTCAGGGGTCCCTTTACCTTTTTAATCCAGATGTTATAAAAGTTGGTGATCTGTCATGGAACTACCCCATTGAAGAAGGTAGCCGTGGTTACCCAGACCTTGTTGCTGGTTGCCAAGGGGGACCCATGACAGTTCAACCTTCCGGGCTCCAAAAATGTAGGTCCACCTCTGCAATCATTTCTTGGATAGTATGAGTCTCAGCCCTTACATAGCAGGCTACTTCTGAGGTTCTTACAGCTTCCCTCAAAGCATATAAAGATTCTGAATAAAAGCTTATAGAAGCCCTTGGGCATCTTTTATATCCCCATATAAAGCCCTCGAGGGATAATCTTTTTAAATACAAGCCTTCTTCAGGAAAAAAAAGTGTTGATTTGGTTATGTACTAAACAGAAGAGATCCCAATGTTACCCATGGCACTGTTTTCCAAGGCAGATGGTTATTAATGATGTGCTTAATGCTTTTATGTCTGCAGCTCTTACATAAAGCAATTCTTATACCTCATGGTGTGTTAATATAATTTTCTTTATTAAAGGGACACATCAGCAGATCATATGGCTAACTCATCCATAGAGAAGTTAATGCGGCTTTAATCAAATGAAAGCCTTGCTGGGCTGGAGCAGTAGGGAGTGTGGGCCTTTCATAATTGCAGAGGAACCATTGTTAAAACAGTGCTCCAGTGGAAAAGGTGAAATTTTATTTCTTCCACTGGTGGCACCAAGGCCATGCTTTCCATGCAGCACATTCATAGGAACATGCCATATACCATTAGTCAGACTATTGGTCCGGTTCACAAAATGGCTGCTATCGAGGGGGGGGGATATGGCATAACACAAAATGGCAGCCACGGGGATGTGGCACAGCTCAAAATGGCTGCCATATCTAAAAGAGCAGACAAGCTTTTGGTACCTCTCCTTTGTTAAGAACGGAAGTTAAGGTGGGTATCAGTGAAATGTGGGTATGTTTAAGGGGGCAACTTCAACATAGGAGTGCCTCAGTTAATGAAGAGGAAACTGAGCAGGGGGAGCAAATCATCTCTCACACACTGGGCTATTTTGAGAGGACATTTACATTTCCAGGTAGCATAAAATGCGCCATATGCACATTGGAACCTGGGGGTGCCTCGTTGATGGCCCTTGGTCCACTCTGGATGGCAGCAGCTCCCTAGAGCATTAAACAGAGATCCCCCCCCCATTTGTGCAAGTAAATTATGCAAAGATCCAGCCACCGTCACAGTATACCTCCCATTCATTTTTCGTATATCACATTGGGCTTGTTAAGCATTTCCTTCAGCAGATA